CACCCCGCCTCCCTCCCCCCACGCACAAACCCCAAAACCTTATCCCCAACCAAGATGAAACTCCCCCCCCACCCCCCTCCCCCCCCTCCCCTGCTGAGCCTTCGCGGCCAGGTGCTTTCCTCGACCGAACAAGGCGCATCCGCTTGAATGGGGCCAGGGGTTGCTTATCCTCAACCTGAATTGGGCCAGGAGGCGTGGAGCCGGCCCTGCCCCCCCTATCCCCAACCAAATGAAGGAGGTCTTATCCCCAACCGAATGAAGGAGGTGCAGCCGCCATGCTTACTTCTCCTCCACTTATCCTCAAGCAATATGGGGTCTCAGGTGCGTGGTCTCAACCTGGAGAAGACGGAGGCAGCTAGCAACAATCACCAGCGCAGCCTTACCCAATGTTGTTGGGCTTTCGTGGCCCTGTCGGTGCACCCGGCTGTGGTGTGCTGTGATCCGCACCCTGGCGTGGACGGCAGCGTCGTGGTTGAATCCTCTTACGGATATACAACGTGCTGACAGATTGTCGTGGATTGTTCAATTTATAAATGATTGATATCATGGACGGCTTGAAAAGGATACTAGAACGTGCGGTCAGCAACAGGAGGTTTTACCGTGTTTGGTTGATCCGTACTAGCTTTAGCGTTGTGGTGCCAGGCACTAACCTCAGAGAGCCATTCCTGACCTTCAAACATCAGGTTCAGCCCCCGGCAGAAGCCTGGAGTCTCCCGATACCATACACTGCTTTAGCATTGTGGTGCCAGGCACGAACCTCAGAGAGTCAGTCTTGACCTTCAAATATTAGGTTCAGCTCCCCGACACAAGCCTGGAGTCTCCCGATATCATACATTCGTCGAACAAGTTCAGACCTCACTGCAGCCTGGAGCCTCTGACAGTTGATGCACTTGATGCGACCCTGGACCAGCGCGACTCGAGCATAAAGATGCGTTTTCGCCCCACGTTGTGGGGTCTTTGCTGTTGTTGCACCCTGACAGCTAAACTAAGGGTAGTCCGAGGACACGACTTGACCCTGTACATGTGTGATTCATTGTCAGCTTCGGCAGGGGGGCACGGCCTCAGATTCCGGACCGTGCCTAACAAAGCTACGGAATCTGATGGGAAGCAAGCGCTGATCACCCTTGCGTGCCTGCAAATTGCTTGTGACACAGTGTATTCATCTTTGCTGTACTATGTTGACATAGTCGCTCGCTGTGGGTTTCCTTCCAGATGGCATGGGGCTAAGCCCAGAACCCCCATACCGGTGATGTTCGACATCACATCTCAGGCATTGGAACACTCAGGACTTGGCTTCGATACAAAACTATGGCAGATAGGTGCGGCTAGCAACAATCACCAGTGCAGCCTTACCCGTTGTTGTTGTTGTTGTTGGTTGTTGGTTGTGGTTGGGCGTTGTTGGTTGTTGTTGGTTGTTGTTGGTGGTTGTTTTTGTTGTTGTCGGTGGTGGTGCTGCTGCTGCCGTGGGAAGCGTGGCCGCGTGGCCGCTTGGCCGTGGGCCGCGTGGCCGGCATGGCCACGTTGCCGCGGGCCGCGGGCTGTGCGTAAATAATGCTATGCTGCGGGTGCAGGCTATAGGTTTACACACTTGTCAGATCTTGGCAGACTTGTAAGCCCTTGGCCTCCGTTATTCGTGACTGCGCGGAGATGTCCAGGTTGAGACTCTCCAATGTCGACGATCCACCATGGAGGCCAGCTGCCAAGGCACCAACTCCTGCACAATCATGGGAACGGGCAGATTCAAACTTCCCTTGCAAAGGACTGCTTCTATGTCCTATGTCATCATAACAAAGCCTGGAGCTCGAAGAAGACAGTTCAGGATCAGACGAGCCGGGCAAGACGGGACTTGATCCCTGGATGATGTCTCGGCTCTTGCATGAAGCTATGCCACAGCATTGCGGACTGCAGAGGTCTCTCACCTTTACGGCAAGCATTTTCGCCATTCGGAAGGCGGCTCAAACGCTCGGACCAGCTACTGGCAGCCACGAGCGCGGAGAAATCCGGAAACGAGTTAGAAAACAAAAAGGACTAATTCAGACAAACACGTGCTCAAGAAAACAGCTGTGGAAAACGCGATAAACAAATCCGGTGAAAAGTCTGGCAGAAATAACTCCAAACTCTGAAACCCATCAACTTTAAACGCCCTTTCTGCTTTCCGAATCGGTTGTCTGGATCCCTCGGCTTATCCGAATGGGCCGCGAGCCCACCTGAATTTGGGAATTCGTTTCCTGAATCTCCGGCCTGTTTCCCACTGCATCAGAGCCTTTTCGCCTTCAGGCCTTGGTGTGCTGCCCGGACATGGAAAGATTCTGTGTTCTTGAAGCTTAGATACTACGGAGATTTCAACTGATTCGCCCAGCAAAGAATAAACTGGGTGCATCTGGACCCGTTCACAGTGTGTTGCTTCAGCTGAGAATTTTCGTGCATCCCAGGTCCCAGGCGACAACTACAGATGAGAGCTGTATAAGGGTTGCCCCAGGAGCGAGACCTGGTTGAGGTGCCGCGTTGAAAGATAGCTTAACATAAATACAGCTTACTACAACCCTAAACCCTAAACCCTCCCCCCCCTCCAAAAAACAAGAACGGGCTCCGTCCTTCATCAGAGAGCTGTGGACCCGAAGAGAGCCGAAGCTCTAGTCGCCGCAGCCGGGTTAAGCTTCCGAGTGCAGAACCCAAGGCCACAGCTGCTACGTCCTTGGGATGGGGATGCGGGGGCACATCATAAAAGGGCCTACTTCTACAAAATCTGTAGATAGATAATGATAGATACAGACAGACAGACAGACAGACAGACAGACAGACAGACAGACAATGCATGCATGTGCTAGTGTTTACCTGTACATGCATAGACTTATGCACACCATGCAGAAGTTGTCTGAGCAACTTAGAGATGCACGGCAAAGCTCGTTCTGCTTGCCTTTGCCTTAATTACTCTTTCATGGCAGTCGCCTGCCCAGCGCTGCCAGGGATCCGACAGTTGACGGCAACCCTGGAAACCGAGGAACAGGTCTTGAAGCGACTCGACGGGCAGACTGCACGCCAGGAGAACCTCAGGCCCAGAGGCGATCTGGCTCCAGCGTCTCTACCGTCGCCCACTGCCAAGGACCAGTGGCACTAAAGCTAGCACAGCAAAGCTCCTGAGGCACCTCCTCTGGTTGAAGCAAACAGCTAGACCATCTCGCAGAGAGATGCAGCTAGATGCAGCTGAGAAGCAACATGTTCATCTTTGAGGTTCTTCTGGCAGTCGCCACCTGCAGCTCTCCGTAGTACTGCAAAGTAGTACCCTATGAAGCCGCTGAGAGAGCAAATTCCTAGAGCGTTCACGGAGTCTTTAAGAAGCACAACCTATCGAGAACTCCTTGCTGCTTGAGCAGGTTCTGAACGCTCTGTACCCGGGAGTCTGAAAAATCGACGGAAACCGCACCCTAAGACCCGGACCAAAGTGGAGGGTCAGCTGGTGCAAGCGCGAGCGAGAAAGTGCTGCAGCGTGTCGCGACAGATTCGTGCCAATAGCAGCAGCCTTTACAAAGGAAGCTGCCTTGTCAGGTGCGACATGGTGCGACTGCAGTGACCTCCGAAGCGAACCGTTCAACAAAAGCTTGCTAGGTCGTCCAGGAGACAGCAAAACGGCCATGCAGCACGTCATTCAAGGCTGCGTATCCTGCCCGGATGCTACGAAGGCAATCAACAGTGACTGAAGAGATCGAAATAGTGTACTTGCCCTGCAAACTGCTGTGACATGTCGCTGAAGCAAAACAAGATAAGCTCCGATGCGAGTTGCTGTCACAGCCGCTTGCCTTCGTGTTCCAAAGCAGGCGCTCGGCTCAGATCAGCAGCCTGTGCAATCCTCAGCTTTGCGGCCGGTACCATATCCCGCATTACAACACCCCCAAAAGCGTGGTGTCCCTGGCGAAAGCTTAGATGCTCTGTTGCCCCATTCGACTCGGTCTTACGAAGCTTCGCCATGGAGCTCCACTCAGCCGGCTCCACAGGAACATGCCCTGTACTCAAACGAAGGCTCCCCTTTCTAAAGCAATCCCAAAGAAGAGCCGAAGAATGTCGATGCCAAGCGACGAATTCAATATCATTCTCCGGTCGCTTTCCCGAGTAGCTTCGGCATGCTCCACCCGGATGTCCTTGCCAAACAGACGTCCAAATTGCTGACACTGCTCAACTAGCCGCGCAGACTCTGCATGTTAAGCATGCAGCCTTTACAGAATTGCCACCCGGGGTATTCCACTGTAACATGCCACCTCAAACGCAAACCCACCTTCAAAGAACCCTCGTCTGAGGCCGAGTCGAAAGCTTTCGTGATAAGCTCGAAAGGGAACCGGCTTTCCCGATGCCGCTTGCGCCGAGCTTGCTTTGGGCCAGTGCCATCCGCCGCAATGAAGCCCTCAGCGATCCCGATTGCATCTTTCTGCTTGGGGTCGTACGTGTAGATGTCGAAGTAATAGGTGAGGCCATCCAGGCCTACCGATAGGGTCGTGACTGATATGCCAAAGCATAGCGGCAAAACATGACTTCCGAACGACACTTCCTGTCATGCTGCGCAGTGCTTCGACATGGCAGAATCGCCCTGTCCATCTCTTGCGGCCACATTCGTCTCCAGCAGCCGAATAGGGTGACAAGTACTGCACAACCCATAGGTCACGGCTCTTGATTTATTGAAGACACGGTGATGCACCGAACATGCTTTGACTGCACAGATGCATTGGAAAGAAAGTGCTTGTGTGCATCCCGTGCACGACACTCCAATCCTTCAAACCACCGATGCGAAGTCACGCGAAGACCGGCCAACAAAAAGTCTCAAACACTGCATGCGCCTTCAATGTCAGGGATGCGACAGGCAGCAGGCATGCGCAGCGACGCAAAGCTTAAATAATGCAGAGACTGCCCTGCGAAGTCGCCACATGTTGCATCCGGCTGGCCTTTCTCACCAGTTACCTGCTTCAAGGTTGAGATGTAGGTCTCATAGATGCACCAGACACGCCTGGATCACCGGCGCACCAAAGGCTGAGGTTGTGCGAAGCGACGGTGTGATGCAGGTGGGTGCTGAACTACAAGAACTACAATGCGTGTCGCGCGGTGACATACATGATTTGCTGTGCGAACCGCTTCACGTGGGTCTTACCAGGCACTATTTCAGCTTCTTTTGCTGCTTCAACAGGAAACATGCAACTACGTCGTGTTGTGCACCAAAAACTTACATGAGCACCGTGCATCGCCCGCCAATGAAACGTTACTACTTCATGCTCTCATTCCGTCGAACACTTCCATCCAAATCGTCCTCCTCCGTTTGCTGTGATTTTGAACGGCTGGGAACTCGGTAGCTGTCTCTTGCGTTGCTGGTCTCGGCATGCTCAATTCAAACGCGTCACGTGTAGCACACTGCATCTCTGTCCACGATGGACACAGTGCCAGCCGCCCTCCCCATGGCTCGCTGGAAACCTGGGAGCTGCAACTAACAAGCACTGCCAGCACTGCTCGCACACACAGCCATGCAGCCACAAAGCTGCTCGTCGCCGGGTCTGCGCCAATCTCTTGATGCACTGCCCACTGGTTGTTTGCATAAGCACAGACCTCGGTACCATGTTGCTGTCTCCGAAGGTCCCAAAGCTTCAGCGCATCATTCGACCCGCTCATCCTCACATGCATTCAAGACACCCAGTAAGCTGCATCCTTCTGGAGATTGCCTGGTTGTCTAACATGTTACAGGGGGCCACTATATCCTGAAGAAATCTTGGCCTGGCACCTTGACCTTGGCTTGGCTTCTGGGCTGCGATTCAGTCGCGGTCATGCAAATGCTGCTTCAAGCACAACGCGAAGTCCACGACAGGCTCGCCCCACCTCGAAAGCCGAGGGCTCGCCAATCAAAACTCGTCACCATCAGAGCTTCAGAACGAGCGGCCAGTGAGAGACGAACCAGTCACATGGCTGAGGCGCCTCCTTGGTGAGTGGCAAAGCTAGCATATGCGACCAGTAGCATGCCAAAGCATTTTCCTCCGTTCCATCTGCACCCCGGAGACTCTAAACGAGCTGCTGACAAGTCTTGACTGGCTGCATGGCTAACATCTTTTGAGTTAGCGGTGTCAGTCAGTCTGGTCACCGAGTCACTGCCACAAGCTCTACGAAGCTGCAGGCACGGGCAGCCGTGGCCTTGCGATGCCAGAAATGTCACTTCACAATTCTTGGCATTATGCGAAACAGGCTTGCAAACAAGTCCAAGGCACCGGTCGAACCAGTAGGTCCACAACATGATACCTTAACTTCCCCATTGCTCTCTCTTAGCTTCTAGCCAGGGTTGGAGCCTTCAGTGATTTCTGATGGCGCTAGGGCATGCGGAGAACGGTAACATCCAAGCGGCAAGTTGACCTGCGGAGGCGTCAATGGCCTGCCTGGCCCAGACACAGAGGCCTTTGTACTATTACTAAATGGAACTTCCCCACGATTCTGAGCAAAGGAGACAACACGAATGAACAAATGGCTATCTGTGCACTTAACGTATAATTACGCGGCCTTATCGGTAGCCAGTTTCAAAGGCAGTGCAGCATGCACGGAGATCGGTAGGCAGCTAAAACATAAAACCAGCAACAATGATGTCAAAGATTTCACTCAAGTGTGCTATACTTTACTATGCGATACTATATTGTGTACGATTACATTGCATCGTGTTATATTGTGCTTTATTTCGGTGTATTGTAGTAGAATACAATAACCAGACGTTCAAATGTTATCCTATCTTACTTGCTCTCTTAACGGTATAGTACTGTGTCGTTGTTTATTGTACGGCACGGCGTTTACGTGGCCTAGAGGCCTAGAATATGGCATGACATACTAAACCGTAACATAACATAACATGACACAACATAACATATCATAACATAACATAAGATGTCGCAACATAACATAACATAACATAACATAACATAACATAACATAACCTAACATGGCATCTGTTAATAAAATGTTAGAATATGATGCTAGCACATAGTATCACAGAATATAACATACTAAAAACACAATAAACTACAGTAGAACAGGTTAGATCGGAGTGGCAGGTCAGATAATTTAAAAGAAGAGAATGAGATGCAAGATAAGACGACGAGATGATATAAAACTGAGGCGAACGAATAACAAAACGTAAGATGATGCCATGTGCCATGTGATACAAGATATAACAACAGTATTATACAGAATGATACAAGCAACATAGTGGGGCATCCTAATGCGATAAAATACAGTATGAACTCGTACGAGATGCTGCAATGAAATGTAAGGCACTGCAATGCCCAGCACTACAATGCGAAGCCATGTAATTCCATATATTGAAGTATGATATAACACAGCCCCAAATAGTAAAACAAAATACGACAGAACCAAGATCAAGGGAAGACAACATGAGTATCCATGATCCTATGTACTACCGTGCCTGTTAACTGTACAATCGGAAACCACGACCCAGGCACTTGTACAATAATACTTGTTATGACGTATAGATACGCAATGTGCGGACTAGGATGGGCTGGAATGCCGCTGCACCTAGTTCAGTATGTTGAGGCTCCTCTTCTAGTTCGCCTGAGCCCTTTTGCATTCCCTCCCTGCATGGCTTCTGCGAGCACCTGCAGGATCAACCCAATCACGGTTGCAACCTGAGCTTGAAAAGCAGCCGGAATCGCGCTGGATAGGCCGCAACTGCAATGGCTGAGAAAGAAATCCTCCGAAGGGTGGATGCATGCGCCATGACCACAGCCTACCACTGCGAATAAAAGCTGTATCAGAATTTATCAGCATTCTCATGTCGCCAAGATGCCTTCGCAAAGGCATGATATTACCAGGTTGAGCTGGCGCATCTGCATGGCCCGCTCCTGCCACAGACAAGATCTAGTCGAACCTTCGTCAAGTTTGGGCTGCTGTGCTCTCACCTGCTTACTCCCTCTCTTCCGCAAGCATATCCGCATGGATCCACACCATGTATGAATGTCTGCATGAATGTCTGCATGTATTTATGTGCAGATGTGCAAGTATATTTTGGCATGGCACGCATCCATCCATGCATCTATGTATGTGCATGTAAGCAACTCTGTAGGTACGTCGCTCACACCTGTATTTGCAGCTGCATGTACACACACAGAGATAAGCAAACAGACGCACATTACGATCACAATGCTTGCATACAACCAACATAAATGCGCACATGTACCCATCCGTCCATCCATCCATCTATCAATCCATCCATCCATGCGTTCTTGCCAGCATGCATACATGCACACATGCATACATCCGTGCATGTATGCAAATATGAGATCTCATGCACGTCTCTGTACATGAGTATGTCTGTCTGTGTGTCTGTCTGACTGGCCGCCTGCTTGGATGCCTGTCTGTCTCTCTGTATGTATCAACGTATGTACGAGTGTGTACATACACGCCAAAAGACTACATGCATCATCACATGCGGACCTGCATCCAATAAGTATCTAAGTATGTATTGTATTTGTGTGTTTTGCCACCGCCGCCGTCGCCGCCATCACCAGCACCAGCACCACCCTCCCCACCCAAACCCATCGCGAGAGAGAATCACCTACGAGGTCTGCACAGCTCCGATATCCGTCACTGCAAAGTGCACGGATCCCTGGCACACTCAGAGCCATTGATCATCGTGCAAGACGAGTGCTTTTCTCCTTACCAACATCCAAACTATAGGATACTAATCTTCAGAAGATATTGTCTTACATGCCTCAACAAGAACGATTTGAGCCAATTGAAACCCTTGGAATCCTTGCCATCTTTGTACAATCCTGACATGACTCCCTGCCCGACTCCACAAGTCCAAAACCATTTTCAATGCAGACAACCTGCAAAAAAGTCAAGAATCTCTTGTACTCCCCCTGTTCTTGCATCAATCAGGCTAGCATAAGACTCGAGGCTGTTTGGTCTGGTGCACACCAGATAGAAAGCACAAAACTGTCTTTTCACCCCGGGATCGAAGCGAGGTCTCCATGCCATAACCCTATGCAGAGGAGGTGAAAGGGGGCTCCCATAACTTGGCTCCGTTACTCCCGCTCAGTATGTTCATGGCGCCTGCCGAAAATTTGGAGATCACAGGCTCCACGAACCAAAAACAAACAGCGAAGGGCGAAACCTCAGAACCCACACTCCCACTCTGTGTGTGTGTGAGCGCTGCGTGTCCTCTACCCTGGAAATGCTGCACCCAGCAGAGAAGTCACGCAACAGATCAGCCATCCAACCAGCGTGGCCTTCAACCTGCCCAAGTGTCGAAGCACATCTGCACACAGGAGTCGTGAGACTCAAAGATAAAAAAAACTACCTGAGCCACACAGACTGCGGTGATTTTGCTCTCCCTTGATGGGGCCTGACTGGGCAAGCAGAGCTCCGCTGCCTTGGGCATGTACAGAGATCTGATCGCATGGACTCGGGGCGAAGCTGTTCACTTGCCTCGTCCCGTGTCATCACGGAGGTAAGTGGAAATTCCTCCTTCTCTCCATCGGGGCCACACTGACATCCGCCCGCCTGCAACGACGATACGACTGGGCAGCTCCGGCCTACGCACTAAATTCACAAGAATCGAGCAAGGATCCGACCTCAGCCAGGGACCTCCATAGCTTCGAACAGTCCACATGGCCGGCCTAGAGGACAAGTTAGGACCCTTTCGAAACTGGCGACCGGAAACTGCTGAGGAACCAGAGGGCGCCTGGTCTTCAAAGGCCGAGAGCATCAAGCTAAGCTCCGGCCGCACGGCCTCCTCAAGGCCCAGCGCAAGGAAAAGATCGCAGAGCTCCTGAGATTGCCGGCCGCCAGGCATGTGAAAGCACGACCCCTCCGGAATCCTCGACGTCGCGTTGCGCTGAGGCTGAAAATTCAAGGCTAGACCCCAAGCTCCACCATGAGAAGACACTCACACAACTCTACGAGCTAGGCCTGCTTTGACCACGGCCCCGTGCGGTTCAGCGCTTCACCCGCACACTCCAGGCGCGCATCCATGGCAGATCGTGTGAGTCATTGTGGGTCCGTGGAGTCTTGCCTGTGGTGCTTTGAGAGACGATCTGTAGAGCGCCCTAATCCTTCCTGTTGTTGCTTTCCGTTTTTCAGCCCGACGAGCTATTTCAGAACGGACGTTCTGTAACGATAGCGATTCTGAATGAACCTGACAAATTTCGGTCTCGCAAGGCAGGGCTTTCGCGCCTTTTGCAGGCCAGAGAGTTTACAGCTGAGTGCAGGACAGCACAACTCACACGTCCGGGATGGCCTAGCTGGGCCTTCCCTTCCACCTCTCCATCCTGGCGCTAATGCCCAACTTACGCACGCACAGCATTCCTTCACATGATAGCCAGGTTCTGAGCAGACAGGACAAAGATGTGCCCAACTTGAAGGAAAACGCGCAGGGCAGGCGATCCCTATGGTGTGATAGACCGTCGGCGGTCTCACCTCAGTTCTCCAGTGGAAGCACCCCGACACCCTTAAAACACTCAGTGGCTTCCCTATCTTTACTGGTTGCAGTTCCCACTCACTCCGAAGGCGAGGTGCGGAGGCTGAGGTCCTGACCTCCAAGGTGAAGGGACACCCGGTCAAGTCCTCACAGTGAAATCGAGTGTGCTCCAACGCACTCAACTTACCTCTTCTCTTCATTTTCGCGCTCGTCTCCATTGATCCATGATTCAAGTGAGGGTGGGCTAATCGGAGATGAGGACAAATTCTGCGCAGCCGGATGGAGGTGACCCTTTTGGCCTCATCGGCACCTTCTGCTCCGATGGAAATCTGCAGACTGAAGCCTCAGATCGTGTTCCACCGAAGCAAAGCACCTGAATTTCATATCTTTGGGGCGCCAGCTGCCAGGCGTTAATGGCAAGAAGGTCACTTTGTACCTGCAGTGAAGCAGACGTAGAGCTCCATACACCGGATACGTGCAACAGCCATGCCAAGATAGCACCGTGGTTGGACTTTCTGAGGTGCACCTGCCATCTTGTAAATCCTCTACGGCCACATCCTGGAAGTCCTGCAGCTCCACCAGATCTGCTCTCAGGTTTGTCCCGTGTTCAAGCTCAGTCACAAGCCTGTTGTCAAAACATATTATGAACTGTCAAGCTGACATGGCCAGATGCGACCAATCCAGTCTCCTCCGGGTGGGACAGAGTTGCCACCACTCGATCACCTCAGCAGAGCAGCCATCGCAGTACGTCTCGTTGCCTTGGCACTACCTTGTCACTACTTGTCCGCACGACATGCATCACTGCATCTTGAGACTCTCACAGACGCTTGAGGCGAGTGAAGTTGCTAACAATGGAAACTCTGTGCATGTAGCAGCTCATCCTACTGCAAGTTCTGGCACAAGCACGACCTGTGGCTGTCGCCTCCCTCTGTGCGGCGAGCACCATCTCGATCACACCTGGACATGGAGGTGCGGGCGACGGGCAGCACATTCAGCACATGCCCATGGACAATGGAGGCTCATGTGCAATCCTCTGTCGTCTGCTAGCAGAGGCCTTGCGGCTCTGGGCGTCTAAATCGAGACAACTTGCCCGACTTCTTTTTGTCATCCTCTGCCATATCCTCCCCTCCCAGGCTCCTGGGAGCGCTGCTGAATCCCTGCTGCGGTCAAGGTGGCCCCGGGATACAATGAGCGGCTCGCACACGCTGGGATGCCGGCGCAAACACCCACAGGAATGAGGGATTGTTGACCTGGCAATCTCACAGGATGTATCGCAGCACATACAGCTGATCACGCCTGCTGAGTGTCACATGTACCCCGCTTAAGGTCCTCCAATATTGTACTTGAACTCAATAACTGAATCATTTCAATTCGTGGCCGCGCAGCCTTGAGCACTCCAAGCCCGGGTCCCTGCGCGACATGCAAAGGGCTGAGCTTCTTCGGCGATTCTTGCTGCTGCTCGCTGCCCTGCTGCGAAAAGGTCACCTGTCTTTGGGCACTGCAATCTGGGCCTTCGCGAAGCTCATGGAGGCGTAGGTCGATTCTCAGGATTTCAGCAGTGAGTCAACGGTGAGTCCGACTGTCGAGATTGATTTCGCCTACCTCATCAGCGCCTTCATCGCATCAAGTTTGAACAACTGAGGCCGATGCTTTCGCCGACTTGGCCCCATTCTGGAATCTTCTCTCCGAAGTCTGTGTCCCCGAGCCTGATGGGCAGGAGACCAAAATTGTGGGGTGCCGACTGTACGAGCCTGGCCTGAAGCGAACTACTGCATCTGCACGGAGTAGGAAGACACCTTCCATCGGCGCCCCGTCAGGATCCTCCGCTCACTCGAACTCGATCTGTCTGATGCTGTTGGTCGTCTGTTGGTCGACCCTGGGTTTCGCGCATTTCAAACTGCCTGGCCACTGGCCAGAGCTGATGCCTATGCGCAAGCGCGTAAGCAAGGACAGCATCGCGGTCCTCTTGATTCGGCGCAAACGGACAGACTTGACCTCAGACGATTCTGGAAGACAAACCACTTCAAGATGAACACCGGCTGCGTGAAAGGCTATGCAATTTGCTGTCGTTCCAGCAAAAACCCGATGCACCACGAAATCACAGAGTCGTGCTACCCACTCTTCGTTTTAAAAGCACTCATGGCTACGGACACGTGCTTACACTCGACTGGGACGGCTCAGAGGCACTGACCCTGGATCTCCTGGAGCTGGTTCTCCAACGTCTGACAAAATTAGAACAAGAATGTGTAGCGAAATGGAGGTGCACAGGCTGCATGAGTGAAGACAGGCCACACTGGCAGTATTCACGATCATTGACAAATACCTAACACTTATAACATCACCAAAAACCAAGTCTGCCACCACGACTAACACTGCACGGCATAGCACAAGCGCAGCTAGCCTGTTTCGAACTACCAGTACTCGCAGACTACTACTACTAGACTACTACTACTTCTACTCCTCCTCCTCCTCCTCCTGCTGCTGCTGCTGCTCCGAGAGTTTGAAAACGAGCAGCAAACCGCTCGAAAGGAACTAGAGAATTTCAGAAGAAGGAGCAAACCGCTCGAAAGAGACTAGAAAAATTGAAAACAAGGAGCAATCTGCCCGAAAGAGACTACAGAAGTTGAAAACAAG